TGAAATAAATATTCAGTGCAGCAGCGAGTATGTGAGGAAAATATGATGAATTAAATCAGACGATTTTGTGAGCTTTTATGCGTTCGTGCGATTGTTTCTATGTTTGTATCGAGAACTGTTGCTGAATGTCAAGTTAAACATTGATCTGTGAGGGGAATGGATCTCAAGTGTTGCTGCTGCTATTTTATTTCTACACTTTTGGCATCTTTGGCAGATTAAACCCGTTAGTTTGTTAAAATATACTGAAACATAGACTGCTAAAGTTACATTGAGCCTATAATGAGCCGCGCGAGACAGCCATACATAAATGTGAATATAGCGAAATATGAATCAAATGCGACACTGAAATCATTAAATATTGCTTTGTGCTGCTCTTTATTTGAAGATGTTTTATGGTCATTGTTTTTTTCTGTACAAAACTTTAACATGTTAATGATCGAATTATTTCATTGCAATGAATAGTTATTAGAAAATCAAACTATTTAGATTAGACATGCATATTGTGATGCTTTGCGGCAGTTATTTACTTTAGTGTTTGTTTTTGTGTTTATGTTTTATACATATTGTGAGAAATAGGCTTTTATCATATATCCTGACTCATATAATGTGTTTCTATCAGCAAACACTGAGAATAAAGAGAGGTGATCTGCTGATGATCTGAATGTCTTGTTGAATGAGTGTTGATCGTCTGAGGCTCATCAATATTAACAGAGCTGCTGAAAAGACTCTTTATTTCATCTCAATAGCTGCTGTTTTCTCCTCGTTTATTATGCTGATGTCTTCAGATCTCCTGTGAATGGACACTTAAAGCTAAACAAGTGTCAAAGGCTTGGAACTGATTATTTTAACAGAACAATTCAACAGCTCAACAATAAACCACGAGAAAACATGAGATCAAGCATGAGAACTTGCAACAGAACACATTATTATTATTTTACATTTGATTATTTTATTTACTTCTAAATTTTAATGGGTACTCTTTTTTTAGCACCTGATTACAATTTCTACAAAATCACATTGTGATTTATATCGTTCGCACAAAATACAGCTACCCGGTTAGCCTGCTGTTTTATACACCAAAGTTGCTCAATCCGTAATGTTATCAAATAGGTGTTAAATGTCCAGATATTTCATTTAACAACAACAATTATGTAATGTGTTCTGTTGTTGTTATTAGTAGTAGTAGGCTATCAGATTCGCAATAACTTTTATCAGACATTAAAAACAGCGCTACCACCACCTAAGGGAGAAATTGAAATTACGAATTGAAAATACGCCTAATGGAAACGCGTCAATTTCACAAAAACGCCCATATATCGCAAAAAAAAAATTAACGCTCGCATGAGGTGTTTTTTCAGGCAATGCGAAAAAGGAATAATTCGCAAAACTGCTTTTTCACATTTACAGGTCACATGGCGTATGTAAAAAGTAATATGATCATTCTTCAGTGTACTATAACCTCCAAGAAACACTTCATAAGTGGCCGCGCTCCAGTATAAGGGGCTTTCCCTACTATTAATACTTAGACAATTTACATTGCACACGTCTGTGGTGCAGTGTGGCTCTGATACGGTCACTGAATCTGACTGCTGCCACTCAGTGCTTGTGTTTATATTTTTATACAGGCTATGGTTTATTCCAGCCATGCCACGCATGTTTCTGAAGCGGATCTCTTTGCTGCTTCTGTAAGGATAGACGCATAAGCCTCCTTTGAATAAATATAGCCAAAATCCCACCAAAATCCGTTGCCTTAACTTATCGCGAGAGGCAAAAGGTTACGTTTTAGTCTCATAACATTGGTTAATGGAAACGCCGTCATTTTGCAATACTTTTTTATCGACATTTATAAAATATCGCCAAAGTTTTGCGCAAATCTGTAATGGAAACGCGCCTACTGTTCCGCTAATAAAGATCCAGCATCAGATCTGAAAGTGCTGGATCTGAAGATGATCTACTTGTGTTTCTTTACGTTATTTATTCCCAATTTGAATAACCGTTTTGTTTTTCATGCTGCTGAAATAACAATACAGTGAAGTCTTGATTGTCTGTAAAATGGAATTCATAAACAGTTCATGCTTTTCCCCTTGAAACAACACAGATACAATTCAATCATTCATATGCTATCAAATGGATGAAAATGTGTTTAATGATAAAAAGAGCTTGTTTTTATTAAAAGCAAGACTTAATATCACATATCAAAGCAAGTTGTTTTTTTGTTTTTCAAGGACACGTGTTTTTCATAAGGTTTCAAGATTGGCCAATGACGGAGTTGACATTCAACATGAAGTCATCATATTTTTGTGGTTTAGGGGTATCATGTGATGTTTAAATGTGAATATTAAGATCCTGGTGAATGTAAATGGATAGAGGTAGTAACAACTAATTGATTAGTTGTTCATATAACTGTTTTTAAAACTGTTTTTATAACTGTTCATATAACAGTTCATATAACTGTTTTTAAAAGTTACCATGTTACTATAGCAGATGCACAGCAGACACATACTGTTCTGAGATGAGAGAAAATAGATCATTTGTGTTCCAATGATATATCAAAATACTTAAATGTGACTCTTGAATAAACGCTTTATTGACAATAACATACTCACTGTTTGTTGTGTTTAATAAGGTAATTGAATGATTCAATGTATTTGATCGTTAAAATGACTACAAATTCAGGTTTTTGTCACCACCGTCAGATGTGTCACCTCCCTATTATATATTTAGATAATATTTGATTGATATTTTATATTTGTTGAGGAATTTGATCTTAGAGTGTGCGTACGCTTAAATCCACGCCAGCGCTCATATTCATAAAAACTGTCTTTGACGTGGAAAAGTGCTTAGAGCTGCGTCAGGGTCTGAGCAGACGTACGCACTTTTTTTTGTCGGAGTACTGCAGGTTTTTGGAAATGTAAGCTGTTCTTGCGGCTCGCTATTCTAAATTAAAGGATTTGGATGATTGGTGATCTTTTGTATGTTAATGACATTTATTAGGAGTCGTTTACAAGCAGAGAGCTGAAACCATTCAGTTGCGATTCATATATTTCACATCTGAAAGAGAGGCATACGTGCGTTTTCTGTACGTACGCTCATTCTATGAATCACACACGTATATCTGAGAGATGATCGTAAGATCAAACTTAGTATGGTTTCAGCACAACATTTTATAAATGAGGCCCCTGATGCTCACTGTTGGTGCTTTCGGCGGTGGGCAGGGGTCAGTATGGGCACCCTGACTGGTCTACGGCTATCCAGCCCCATACACAACAATCTGCAATGCATTGTTTATTCTGACACCTTTCCATCAGAACCAACATTAACTTCTTGAGCAATCTGAGCTACAGTAGCTCGTCTGTTGGATCGGACCACACGGGCCAGCCTTTGCTCCCCACGTGAGTCTTGGCCACCCATGACCCTGTCGCCTGTTCACCTCTGTTCCTTCCTTGGAGCACTTTTGATAGATACTGACCACTGCAGACGGGTAACACCCCACAGGAGCTGCAGTTTTGGAGATGCTCTGACCCAGTTGTCTAGCCATCACAATTTGGCCCTTGTTAAAATCACTCAAATCCTTTACGCTTGCCCATTTCTGTCAGGACCACGTCAAAGATGACTGACAATTAGAATACAGTTTGGATTGGCAGTATGGTTCTGTTCTGGGCAAGAACTGCAATCTAGCAAGGATAAGAGCAGGGAGAGCAGCAATAACCCTCCAGGGTAAAAATAACAGAACCAATATAAATATTGCAGATATAATTAAAATACGATAATTTAACTAAACATTTTAGAAATTAGACTGATTCAAGGAGAATCAGAAGGCAGAATCCTGACTGAACAAGAGGAGTCAGGGATAGGGTGGGTAATTAGCTATTGAGCAATGCAGAAGCTGGTAATAATACTGAAGGACCTTATATATAGGTGCTGTGATAGGTGTCACATCCCTATAGGTAGACGTGAGTCAGCTGATGCGAGCGTGACTAAGACAAAAGCCATGTGCTCACACAAAACAAAAACACAAGCACATGGCCAGCAAAACAATAACAAGCCACAGGCTTGAACAAAACAAGACAAGAAACCAGAGCTAATGAGAACACACATGAGCTGTGTTCACACACAACATGACAACATGAAAGCACGTGGCTGTGAAAAACTCGCAGCTGCGTGCTTACATGAAAACTAGACATTACAGGAGTGTCGGGGCTCTGTCACAAAACAATGGAAAACTAGACCGAAGTGACCAAACCCTGACACTATCAGTTAAAAAGCCTTCTGTAAAAAGATTCATGTAACGATTCATGGATATTAAAGGCGCCTGTCTTGCTCTGATTATCACAGTATTTAATATTATATCTACAACATTCAGTACAGTATAATATCAAATTGCAAATATCATTAAAAGCTGTATGCAAATATCCATAATATCATTGACATGAAGATAAATCTTGCTGTAATCTGGCCTGTTATTTATAGAGAGTATTTTATTGTAATATTGTATTCATCACTATTTCCTCTCGGTGCTGCGAGTTCTTCCTCCCTGCAAAATAATGCAACACAAAAGCATTTACTGAGCTCACATGATTGCAGATTAATGTTATTCATCAGATTGTCAAATCAAGTCACCTTTATTTCTATAATGCTTTATACAATACAGATCGTGTCAGCAGCTTTACAGTGTTAAACAGGAAAAGCTTGCGCTGATAATGCAAGAGGACACTAGAGAACAGTCAGTTTTGCAGTTGAAGTCATTCATTGTTGATGCAGTGATGTAGTCGTTCAGCTCAGTTCAGTTCAAATAGTGTCTGTGCAATCAAGTCGAATACTGCCAGAAATTAAGTGTCCCCAACTAAGCAAGTCAAAGGAGACAGTGGCAAGGAACCAAACTCCATCGGTGACAGAAATGGAGAAGAAGAAAAAAACACTTGAGAGAGCAGGCTCAGTTCTCCTCTGGCCAGAATTAGGATTGTGTGAAGCTGAAAAACTCACCAGCTCTTCTTGCACAGATGAACTGAAGAAGATTCACAGCAGGAGCAGCAAACACTACAAACTCAACAATAATCACAGTCACTGTGAGTGGACAGATGATAGATAATCAAGAGGGAAAAAAACAGACTCTGTCTGTAAAACTGGGAATGAAATGTAAAGTATAAAACAACGAACAATGTAAAGGCGTGTGTGGTTCCTCAGAATAATGATCCAGCAGTAACTGAAGTCAGTAGGACTGCTGTGATCATGTCTGTTAGTTCAGTTCAAACATAATAAACATACAATATAAACCAAACATCATCATCATCAGATCATACTTGAGCTTCACATCACAGAAATTATGAATGAACTTTCACTGCTTCATGAGTCCATCATCTATTATCATGTTATTTCAATCTCAAGGTGTCAGGAGAAACATTTACTGTCTGAATAGAGTTGATCTGAATCTCACAGAACAAGTGATGCATGCATTATAAGACAATTGAACATAATATGAAACTCATACAATTATTACAATCATATCATTTATATCATGAAACAAAATGATAGAAGAATAAAACTTTGTGGCATTATTCTTTGGGGAGGAACTCCATCTTTGAGTTGATCTGAATCTCACAGTTGAATCTGCTGGTTTTGAAGATGAAGATGAACTTTATTCAGTGAAAACGTCAGATAATGTTTCTTTGTCATGTCGCTTGTAATGACAGATTTATCAGATTATATTTTATTGCTTGATGCATTATTGTGTCACAGTTGTTGACGATGCAGCATCCGATCTGAAAGTGCTGGATCTGAAGATGATCTACTTACTGTGATAGTTTTTTGTATGTCTGTGTAGAGCAGAAGAATTATTGAAACACTTCCCACATGCAGTGCAGTGATACGGTTTCTCTCCAGTGTGAATCCTCTCATGTATTTTCAGGTCTCCTGACTGACTGAATTTCTTGTCACAGTGTGAACACTTGTAAGGTTTTTCTCCAGTGTGAATCCGCTCATGCTGTTTCAAATGTGCAGCTGTAGTAAAAGTCTTTTCACACTCAAAGCACATGTACTCTCTCACACCAGTATGTATTTTCTGATGTACTTTTAAATGTTGTAGACGTGAAAAACTCTTTCCACACAAATGACATGAATGTGGCTTCTCCTTTGTATGAACTCTTAGGTGTGTCTTCAGGACTGAAGCCCTCAAAAATGTTGTGCCACATTGATCACAAGTGTACAGTTTCTCTCTAGTGTGGATGTTCATGTGTTCCTTAAGGCTTGATGATTGTGTGAAACTCTTCCCGCACTGATCACAAGTGTATGGTTTCTCTCCAGTATGAAGTCTCATGTGAACATCAAGATAATATTTGCTTGTGAAACTCTTTCCACACTGAGTGCAGGTGAAAGATTTCATGGCTCTTCTCTTCTTTAAATCTTTCTGTTTGGTTTGAGAGCAACTCAAAGGGTTTTCTCCAGTTTTAGCATGATTTTTCTTCTCAACTTCACTCAATTCTTCATTCTCATTGTTTTCTTCAATCAACTCTGAAATAAAAGTAAAACTGGTTGATTTTCAGTAACTCTCAGTAACCCTGATGAACCCTGATGTAAAGTAGACCTCTGCTGTACCAAATTTTGGTCATTTTGATGCATTTTTAGAAGTTATATGTCCCTGAAACTCTATTAATGAGGTACATTGATATTCCAATTATTATTATTTTTAAAACATTACAGGCACAAATCCCATGTTTCTACAGGGAGAACTATTCAATATGTTTGATCAACTACACAATTATCTAACAATGTTATTGAAAAAAAGTACCCTATTATAACAAATCTAAATCTGCTTGAAGCTTTATAACCATCAGCATTATTAATGAAGCATGAAGAATAATAAACACCAACCTGTTTGCTCTTCAGTGTGTTTCATTCTGCAGGGTTTGTGGGAGGAGCTTCACCGAATATGAATTTCTGTGTTGAAAGACTATATAATTCAAAAAAGACAAAATCTTAAAAGTCTGTTCTCGAGTAATGATTCGATATCCATTGTGCCCAAGAAAATAAAGCATTAAATAAAGCAATATCGTGATTATCATCGAAAATTATTCAAGTTTTAGGAAAAGTCAAGAAAAGCAAAACATGATTCAAGTTTCCAAAAGCATGTTGGATTTATTTATTACAGTAACAGTTCAACAGTTTATGATCATACCCACAGATTAATACTGGCCAAGAACTCTACACAGGATTCGATACAAAAATAAAGTTATCATAAAAAAAAGGAAAAACAGACAGAAGTAACAGTAGGGGGAAAGCCCTGCAAACATCTGTAATACAGTTGTGACATATCCTAACTGCTTTAGTACCATGACATTAATACTGTAGCTGTAAAAACAAAAGCCCTTTTTTTTACCCTCCTGCCTAACTAGCCAAACATTTCAGTCACAGGAATGAGGTAAGTGTGATTTCCTGAGTATAATGTCTCTCTCGTATTGTGTTTGCAGTAAACAGAGGTCAGACAGTGAAACACTGCCTGCTTGCAAATGGTCTTTCTCTTCTTTAGGATGAAGAGGAGAAGATCAGCTAATCAATGGTATAAATGCACTTGCTCTTTATTTTGGTTGTTTTCATGTCTATCTCCTCCTTGCCACCTTCGCTGTGGATTTTCTTGTTGCTGCCCTCTACAGGAACAAAGTGGATATTGAAACAGCAAGTTGTCAAAGCTGCAGTATTTTTCCTGAAATCTTGTATTTTTCAAGATTCTTAAGGATTTATGTCAGTAGTTTTACATGCAAACATTTTTTTGGTATGCAATTAAAAAATAAACTCAGCAAGACGCAAATAATATAAAGTGTGGAGAAGGGGCAAGACAGTTTACAAAGAAGATTGATTTTGTAATTTTACGAAACACAGTTAATGCAACAGAAACCCACTGCTGATTATGATTGAAAGTGATGATAAAAATGAATGTGGCTTGATTTTACTTTGGGACTCTGATGGGCAGATTCCTCAAAGCTTTTAACCCCTGTTACCTCATTATTTCCCACTGGTTATTTCACCTGTTTGTTGATTCCAGAGAGAGTTTACTGGCATCACCAGATCTCAAATCGGGGGTCTGTCCTGAAGAGCTCTCTGGATTCAATTCTGTTATTGAAGAGCCTACAGAAATACATAAACACACTGATATTAGCTACAACCCACTGCCTGTATTCCTCATCTGTAAGTCGCTTTGGATGAAAGCATCTGATAAATTAATACATGTAAATGAAACCTATCCATTAAACTATCCATTAAAATTTGAATACACTTGACAGATTTTTTTTTTCCATGACTACAAAGATTTTGATCTAAAAGCTTTGCATAAATTTTGTTGACAAGTATAAATCGTCCCAATAAATTTATTTTATAATGGATGACTGGTGTGATGCAATGAATGAAATGAGAGAATGAAAAGTGGCAAAAAATTAAGAAAAACAACTTTGCGCTTCATTGTGACACTCAGACACACACCTTACTGTCTTTATGTTACTGTTGCGAGTGACGATCCTGTGGATATTCTCAGCCCCAGCGTCAGTGATGCTATTGCCACTAAAACTGAGATCAAAAAACAAACCAGGAATGTAAGAACTATTACATTATACTTGAGAAATGTACACTTTGAGTTTCTTCAGTCACTCACTCAATGTTTTGCACTTTGTGGAGGTTTGGGAGCAGCAGATCCAGGCTGTTATCTGTGAGACGGCAGTGACTCAGATCTAGTTCTGTCAGTCCTTCAGAATATTCCAGAATCAGCTCCAGACCTCTACAGACCTGCAGATCCAGCTGAGTCTGACTGAGATCCAACTCTTCACCCAGAGCTCTAGAGAGACACTGAGCTTCCTCAGGCCTCACATGAGCCAGAAACTGAAGCAGCAGAGGTTTATCACAGCTGAAAGACAGAGAGCAAGAGATGCGTTATATATACTGAATGCTTTTATATTGGATCTGTGTGTGAATGTGATCTGTTGGTGTTTCTCACCAGAGCTGAACAGAATGTAACACTGGGAACAGCTGATCCACTCCAGCTGTATGAATCTCACAGTCCTGCAGAATCAGCTGAGTCTTTGTGTCTGAGTGAGCTCTCTGAATGACTCTGGACATCACACGGCAGTCGTCAGCGTTCAGATGTAGAGGCTCTGAGTCTGTGTTTGTTGTCAGATCCAGAGCAGAGCGGCAGGAGAAGTCCAGCTTGTGTTGCAGGATCGAGAGCAGAACAGCTGCTGCCTCCTGCTGGACATCAGAGACACTGCAGCAGTGAAGCATCTTCAGTAACAGCAGCCTGTCGGAAAGATTCTGTGACATCAGTAACAGCAGCCTGTCAGCACTGAACACAGACGAACACTAGATCAGGACAGATTCTGGTAACATCAGCAACTGTCAACACCGAACACAGACGAACACTAGATCAGGACAGATTCTGTAACATCAGTAACAGTAGCCTGTCAACACCGAACACAGACGAACACTAGATCAGGAAAGATTCTGTGACATCAGTAACAGCAGCCTGTCAGCACTGAACACAGACGAACACTAGATCAGGACAGATTCTGTAACATCAGTAACAGTAGCCTGTCAACACCGAACACAGACGAACACTAGATCAGGA